GCGACCCGGACAAGGATCTCCGCCAGGAGGTCGTCGGGGAGGGCGGCCGGCTGCCGCGGCGACTCCGTGGCCTCGAGGAGGGGGAGGATCGGGCGAACCGGGGACGACATCGCCAGCGCGCCGCCCGCCTCCGGCGGAGGGCGGAATTAGGAAGTCGAGGGTTTCGGCGAGTGAGCTGGATGTGTGTGAGGTGTATTGTTGGGTCCGCGTTCGGCCCATGCTTCCAAATCACCTTAGGGCTTGAACGCAGAAATACAAAATAAAGGAATGAAAAAAAAAACATAGAAATAGAATAGAGCAAAAAGTAGAAAACTACGGGATTTGAAAACACAGGAATAGAAACTTTGGGATGTTTAGATCATAGGAAAACAAAATGCCACATGTGCCCAAGAAGCAGGTTCCATGCTTGAGAACTTGACAAAACATTGTAGGAATTTTTCCTTTAGGTTTCCTTGGATGCTTTTTTCCCTACGTTTTATGAAACCCGGTTAGTCTTTCCTTTGGAAAGGAATGCAGGTTTCCTTTGTTCCAAACAGCAAGTTGAGGAAACATTCATATGGAATTCATTCCTTTGATTTTCCTTTGGAAATCCTCCATTCCAAACATACCCTTAAAGGATAGGGACCTAGAGTCCTCGGGAAAAACTAAATGCCTGTGTGGCGTTTGTGGCCCAACTATCGTTTTTCAATCGTCGATTGCCGCAAATAACGTGAGAAATTGAAATTTTGAAATCACAAACTTATACTATTATATATAAAGTAGTCTCAACTCCCAACCATAAATTAGGATAATTTCTATGACCATTAATTAAGGCATCAATCAATTTTTAATAGTGACGTGCCATTTAGAATTAAGGAGGCAAGAGAGAGAGAAATATTTTTTATAAAAAAAACTATGTAAGAAGATAAAAAAGACCATGTAACAATAAAAAGATAAAAAAAGATGTGATAGGTACATAAAAAAAGATATGATAGGTATATAATAGGAGAGAGAAGACACACGCTTGGATAAAGTTTTATTTTTGAATGAATCATTCATTGAGAATATGAGTATAGTGTCTGTATGACTTGGTAAATACAGAAATTATCTTATAGTTTCTGAGTTGGGACTATCCTAAATGTGCAAATGAGAGTTTATACTTGATGCATTGTTCTTTTGATTGAAGGGAAAGGAGCAAGAATTATATTAAACCTCGACATAATATAATGTTCAATCTAGGTCCTTCCATTGTCTTTCTTGCTAGTAGCTTTCGTCTATGTAGTCAATGCTTCAGACAAGAGAGCTCTATCAAACATCAAGGCAAGGTGAAGTCCTCATGCTAAATCCGTCAATGAACCCTAAAATATTGGGCATACCAGGAGAACCAATGTTCTAGAATCAGACTGAAGTACATCTAAAGCAATGAAAGAACATTGATGGATGAATCATTGAGATAAAACATGTTGCAGATTAAGCATCTCCAGGCCTTGATCTGTCAAGTTGGATACCTGATTTTTGGCTCTGTAGCCATTAGCGATGAAGACGATGACCTAGAGTTACTATCCCTATGGAGAGTGTTTAGGGGAACCTTCCTTTTTTGCAAATAGTGACCATAAATTAACCTCTTGCTGATGAAATTGATGCCAAGAATGGGGACTTGTTATGAACACCATCGAAGTGAACTCCTGGCCGAACATCATATGAAATTACTATAGAATGGCTTGTTTCATATGAATTTTACCAAGAGGTTGAACCCCATGGAAAGTTTTTGTTCATGTCACTCTCTCTCGTCGAATTTCGGTGACTTTCTATGGGGGTCGACCCGGTACCCTGGCGATGCACATGGGCGCGCACCAAGGGACGATCCAGCCCACAAGACAAAGGCTTGCGACGCTTGCAGCCTTTGCCGCCACAAGACGCTTATTAAGATACCTCGGCGACATCCACGAAGATAGCGTACAATCTGTTAGGATATGCCGAATGTAAATTCCATGTAAAGCTTATTTGTTACCCGATAAGTTGTATACACGATCGGCATGTAACCCTACCTCCCAAACTATATAAAAGCGGGTAGAGGACCTCCTCAAAGGACACATAATCATATATGATAGCCAATACAAGCAAAGCGAGAACACAGGATTAGGGTGTTACGTCGAGTTGATGGCTTCGAACTCGCATCTAATCTTGTGTCTCTGTCACCATATTGCTCCTGTTCATGCGCACCTCTCCGATCAATCTATCATCGTGGGTATCCCCCTCGGTGGATTACCGAGCATATTTAGTCGACACTTTACTACGCTCCATCCAAACGATCAATCATGCAGTTTCCTATGTTTTATCAATCCATATGATTCAAGATGTGATGACATTCTATTCCTACCTTTTTCTATTATTGGGTTTCTAGAATTTTGTGTTCCAAAGATGCCCTAATTGAATTTATGTGTTTTTTCTACAATCCATCCAAATGTTCAATCCTATAGTTTCCTTTAATCTAAAATGTTAGGTCATTCTATTCCTATGTTCTTCCTACTCTGTTTTCTAGAATCCCACAATTCAAAGAGTCCATAAAGGTTTGAGATAGCTATACCAAGAACACCATCAGGGTCAGAGTTCAGGCATGTGCATCAAGATGCTACCTCTCGCAATGCCTGTCTAACCGCAGGCCAGATACCCGCCATGTATCAATGAAGCAATGGTATGCTTATTTGGACCTATACACTTGTTGGTAATGGGGAACCACATTAATTGTGGGGGTATGCCTCCCGGTATCCACAAGACAAGACATGGGCCGCACCATCAGAGGTGGCCCAACCCACAAGATCAAGGCGTACACGGTGCTGCTCGGCGTGCACCGCAAGCTATTGTGTAGTACCAAATAGGCTATTTTCCTTGTAACCTTACCCCTCCAGAGTATATAAGAAGAGGCAGGGATCCCCTAGTGGACACGATACATACATCTCATATTCAATACAATACACCAAAGACACAGGACGTAGGGTATTACGTCAATCAGACGGCCCAAACCTGTCTAAATCGCTGTCTCTGCACCTTGTGTCACCATCCGGTTCCTAATTACGCGCACCCCCACCGACAAATCTACCTTCGTGGGATACCCCTCGGAGTACTGCCGAGCATCTTTTGTCGATGCTAATTGTTTGTTTGGATCCTCTCTAAACTGTAGAGCTTTAAAACCTTTAGAGCATTTTAGCTCATTTTTTAAGTCTAAAACTCTAATGTGAGGTGGATTCAAGTTTAGAGCCAACTTTAGATCACCTGTTTGGAGACTTTAGCTCTAAAGTTTAGAACGGGATCAAAACAGGCTTTAAAACACGTGTCGGTGTTTCGAGTAAACACCAACTAGTAAATTTGTATTTGTTGCTCGTTGGGCCCGGATGGTGTGCTAAAAGGTTTATACTGGTTCGGGCAGAATGTCCCTATGTCCAGTTTGCGACTGTTGCTCATGTTATTAGCACTGAAAGGTTCATAGTAGGGGGTATAAACGGTCGAGAGAGGGACATGTCACAAGTCTCTGATGAAAAGGTGGAAAGGGCGCCGAGAGCTTGGTTGCTGCTCAGCTGTGTGTTATGTGATGCGTTGTGTGTTGAATTGATCGGTCCCCTTAGTGGGGTGCCCTGCCCTCCCTTTTATAGATCAAGGAAGAGCATGGATTACAGATGGGAGAAAGAGAAAAAACCAGAGGCAGAGAAGGTCCTTTGAAAGTGTCGGGTCTTCCTTTTCCTTTGAGCCCGCCCTGCTGACATGGCAGACGGTGCCAGGGATAGCACGTTCGCCGATCCTGATAGGGCCGCGCTCTGGCTTCGTTCAGCAAGTGGTCATGTCTCATCCCACTCCGGCGGACGGCGCGGCGCGCCAGGGTGCTGAGCCGCGACCCTACGGGGAGCAGATGGCGTAGAGGCCCCACGTTCGTACTGTAGATGACATGAGTTTTCTTCTGGACCGTAGTGGTTGTCGTATGTTTCCGTCAGGATTCGTGTCCGAGGGCAAATGTCGGCGCCCATAACACTGTAGGACAAATGTCGACGCCCACAACACTGTTTGGGCTCTGACATGCCTAGAAGGGCTTAAAGCACCTGTCTGGTCATATCCTGATGGTACCTTCCTGCAGGCGTGCAGGGTATGGTCCTCGGTATTGCGGTTGACTTGAGTGCCCTGCCTTATCTGCACGCGTAGTTATGAAGGAGCAACGCACAGGCGTCGGGCGAGGCGGAGCCTGCCCCCGGACGTCGGGTGAGGCGAAGCCCAGCCCCTGGACGTCGGGCGAGGCGGAGCCTGCTCCTAGACGTCGGGCGAGGCAGAATCCAGCCCTCGGGGGTCGGGCGAGACGGAGCCAACCTTCGGTCGTTGGGCAAGAAGTGTAGCTGCGTTCTTGTCTGTTCGAAAGCTTCAATGTTTGATAGTTATTAGCTCATCCTCTTTGGGTATCCCAGTATTCGGTCTCCGACAACATGTCTGCACATGGAAGCTTTACACATGGTGAGCTAGCATTAGCGAAAAAGTCCATGAGGCCCGAAGAGCTAGAATCCTTTTCACGATAACTATGGGCGGATCTATATAGGTCGTAGGGTGTGCGGGCATATCATAAAAACAAAAAAAAACATACTTATACGTACCTCTATGCTAAAAATTATACACTTACGAGATAAAACACTCTCTTGCATCTGCTCTAGCTTTGTCAACGACGATGGTAAGGATCTATGAACGCTAAAACCATATCTACAAATAAAAGTTTTACATGTGGTGAGTTGGCACCGGTGAAAACGGCTGACAGAATCCTTTCCGCGACAAGGATCTAGGTATACATGCAACCTTCAACCTCGTACATGCTATTTGTAACGCCGACATATGGGTCCCACAATGAAGTTCTGGCTTAACCATGACCCACGCCACGAATGGGGAAATATCCAAAACCAGATAAACCCCGTGTACCGTCTCCCTCCCTCCCTCCCTCGCCCGCGCCTCCACCACTCGCTCGCTCCGCCTCCGTCCACCTCCGCTCCACCATGCCCGCCTCCCTCATTCCCTCGACCTTCCTCCCCCACCACCTGCGCCGCCTCGCTCCCGCCGGTTGCACTACCTCACCCGCAGCCTCCTCTTCGGCCTTCGTCCCAGCGAGCCGCTACGACTTCGAACCCCTCCTGGCCTACCTCTCGTCCCCCTCCGTAGCGGCCTCCCTCACCTCGCCATCCCCACCGGCATCCGTTCCGGCGCCCGAGCACCGCCTTGCCGCGACTTACTCGGCTGTCCCGTCGCACGAGTGGCATGCGTTGCTGCGTGACCTCGCCGCCAGTGACGCGTCCCTGCCGGTGGCCTTCGCGCTGCTACCTTTCCTCCACCGTCACCGTCTCTGCTTCCCGCTCGACCTCCTCCTCTCGTCTCTCCTGCACTCGCTCTCCGTGTCCGGCCGCCTTCTCCCGCACTCGCTCCTGCTCTCCTTCCCGCCGTCGCTCTCCGACCCGCCGTCCCCGCTGCTGCTCAACTCCCTCCTCGCGGCCTCCGCCGCGGCCTCGCGCCCCGCCGTGGCGCTCCGGTTGCTCTCGCTGCTCCGCGAGCACGATTTCCTCCCGGACCTCGCGTCCTACTCGCATCTCCTCGCCTCGCTGCTCAACACGCGGGACCCGCCCGACGCCGCGCTGCTCGAGCGCCTCCTCGGTGACCTCAGGGAGTCGCGGCTCGAGCCCGACGCGCCGCTCTTCTCGGACCTCATCTCTGCCTTCGCGCGGGCGGCGCTCCCGGACGCCGCGCTCGAGCTCCTCGCCTCCGCGCAGGCAATCGGGCTCACGCCGCGGTCCAACGCGGTCACCGCGCTCATTTCCGCGCTTGGCTCTGCGGGGCGCGTCGCCGAGGCGGAGGCGCTGTTCCTCGAGTTCTTTCTTGCTGGGGAGATCAAGCCGCTGACGCGTGCCTACAACGCGCTGCTCAAAGGGTATGTCAGGATTGGTTCGCTCAAGAATGCAGAGCAAGTTCTCGACGAAATGTCACAATGCGGAGTCGCGCCAGATGAGGGCCACTTACAGCTTGCTTGTGGACGCGTACACAAGGGCTGGGAGGTGGGAAAGTGCGAGGATACTGCTGAAGGAGATGGAGGCTGATGGAGTTAAACCAAGCTCGTATGTGTTCAGTCGGATCCTTGCAGGATTCCGTGACAGGGGGGATTGGCAAAAGGCATTTGCAGTGCTCCGAGAGATGCAGGCTAGTGGGGTAAGGCCAGATCGGCATTTCTACAACGTCATGATAGATACATTTGGGAAGTACAACTGCCTTGGGCATGCTATGGATGCCTTTGACAGAATGCGAGAAGAAGGATTGAGCCGGATGTTGTCACATGGAATACTCTCATTGATGCACATTGTAAAGGAGGGCGGCATGACCGTGCTATGGAGCTGTTTGAGGAGATGCGTGAAAGCAATTGCCCACCAGGCACGACCACATACAACATCATGATAAATTTACTCGGAGAGCAAGAGCGTTGGGAGGGTGTGGAAGCAATGCTATCAGAGATGAAGGAGCAGGGACTGGTACCCAACATTATTACATATACTACTCTCGTGGATGTGTATGGAAGGTCTGGTAGATACAAGGAGGCAATTGATTGCATTGAAGCGATGAAAGCTGATGGTCTCAAGCCATCGCCTACTATGTATCATGCCTTAGTCAATGCATATGCTCAAAGGGTAAGAAAATCTTATATTGTGGCATATTTTTCAACTATAGTTACCAACGAATATCCTGTACCTACACCTGGTTATGACCAGATAACCCATCCCGAAAGCCTTGATGCAGAATTGGTTAGCTGTTATACTACTTTTGAGATTTACTTCATAATACCCAGTTCTGTTCTGCCAACAATTGACCTGCACAATCTAATTACAGGTGGAATCTATATGTTCTGGCTTTGGTATCTACCTAGTTGGTTTCTAAAGTTTTTGCATAATATGATTGCTTGCTTAGTTGAGTACACAAATCAGGGCTGTAGTGTTGATACATTTCAGCCAGATTAAGTAAATTTATCTTATTCAAAATAAAATTTTGGTTCTCACTGTCCATGCATGATTATCTACAGGGTTTAGCAGACCATGCATTAAATGTGGTCAAGGCTATGAAAGCAGATGGCCTGGAGGTTAGCATCTTAGTGTTGAATTCGTTGATTAATGCTTTTGGTGAAGATAGAAGGGTTGTTGAAGCCTTCTCTGTGCTGCAGTTCATGAAGGAGAATGTGAGTCTTGTTTTCTCATTTTCTTATTTTGATCTGCTTCACACACTCATGTTACTTGTCGACGGTCATTCTGTTTGATCATACTGTCTTTGGCAATTCGTCTGTGTGTAATGGAAGTCTGATATGTTCTGCATTTCATATTGCAGGGTTTGAGGCCTGATGTTATAACATACACAACATTGATGAAAGCTTTAATACGTGTTGAGCAGTTTGATAAGGTAAGCACAAACTCTTGTGTTTCTCCTTTCTCCTTGCCACGATAAAGTAGACACACCTCAGATCAAAATCTTACCTGCTAACTTTACATGCTATCGAATCCATTAGATCTAATAAATCTGATCCCATTTGATAATCTAGCTTTTGTTCTTCTCGGATAATTAGAGTAGAAGCTACTGCTTTTTATATCTTCTAAACCAATTAGTTATCTTCATATATTAAAAATCTGAAGGGCAGGCCTGGTGCAAGCGGTAGAGTCTTACCGCCTGTGACCGGAAGGTCCCGGGTTCGAGTCGCGGTCTTCTCGCATTGCACAGGCGAGGGTAAGGCTTGCCACTTACACCCTTCCCCAGACCCCGCACAGAGCGGAAGCTCTCTGCACTGGGTACGCCCTTTTTTATATATTAAAAATCTATAGTTCCTGGACGATTTATATAGCCGTAAAACTGCAAGCTCCACTGGTGGAATAGACATGACCTGAATTCTGATCCTTGCGGTTTTGCCTATGATTTAACAGGTTCCTGTTATCTATGAAGAAATGATCACATCAGGATGTGCCCCTGATCGAAAAGCTAGAGCAATGCTGCGGTCAGCTTTAAGATACATGAAACACATGAGGGTTGCATAGGAAATTAGACACAATTACTGATACCACCTGATGGAATCATAAACCTTCTCCTGATCTTATAGAACATTTCAACAGAAGGTTAGTACTGGTCTGATGCTTGTACATTGCTGTATACTCCCTCCGTCCCTAGATAACTATCGTTTTCGCTTCCCGAGAAACAACTTTGACTAAATATATATATATATAAATATTAATATTTATGGTACAAAAGTAATATCATTGGATAGATCGTTGAATCTATTTTCATAATAAATTTATTTCGAGATACAAATGTTGCATGCATTTCCTATAAATTTAGTCATAACTTGCAGCATGGAAACCAAAAGCGACAGTTATTTAGGGGCCGACAGTTATTTAGGGGCGGAGGGAGTATATTTTCAAGTTTATTGGATAAATAAATGCTTTTTTTGGCTAAGATGTATGTTATATATTCATCAGGTGAAGCACAACATACCGACTGCCCTGACTGCCACGCTCTGCTTTTGCGCAAGATGACAAAATCAACAATATCTTCATTTTGTCTTCCTAATCACCTAGGGGAAGGCGAAGACATACATCTTGATCAGTGGAAGGAGATTAAATACATGACACCAAGAAGTGAGGATCTTGGTATAGTACACAAATACAGAGTCTGTCCAAACCTCAAAATCTGAGTTGGAAGCTTGGAATTGACATTGGTTTATAACCCAATTCCAGTATTTTGCTGAGAATTAATTGTAACGTGGAATTACAATTCCAGCTTTTCCAAATTGTATTTAGACATAGACATTTCTAGAATTTGTCTAGGGCAATACCAAGGAAATGTATTACATTTTTATTGCCTAAAGAAACAAACACACTATTGTCTTTGCCCTTATCATATACAATTTCACTTAGATGACGTGGAAGTAATAAAAAAAGAGCACCAATATTCTAACATTACACAAGGTAACTAGGAACACATTGTGTTTGTTCTCAGGAACATCAGAACTTAAGGAGGCACGGTGTGGTACACACATAGTGATTACACAAAAACAGCTCTAGCAAACTAAATTTGGGCACTGGACATGACAAATAAACATTAAGCAGTGGCACATATATTGAGTAAACACACAGATTGATACATTGCAGTGAAGAGTTGGAAGTTATGGAACAAACTTCCAAGTTTAAACAATGCTAGCAATCCTAAGAATAGAACTGGCATAAGGATAGAAATTGTCTAAGCCTCACTTCTTCCCAATCTCCATCAACAACCAATCCTTCCTCATGTCCATTGGAAGTGCTGTAAGACATTCAAACTTACGATCACTGCTTGTGAGGATACGATAGGCCCTTAGCAAGTCATCACGTGCTAGGCTGGGTATTGCTTGTAGTGTTGCAGAGATTTCCTTAGGGGATGCACTGTTTGGCTCATCTAGAGTCTCATTTGACTTCATAGATATTTGAAACGAATTTTTGATGTCACCAGACATGTAAAAAAAAGCATCATTTGTTCTGAGCCTCTTCCTCCTGCCTTGTTTGTTTGATTGGGTCATTAAGGGTGGCCCAGGACGGTATTGACTGCTAGGTCCAGATGTTGAAGGTGAACTTGGAGTATGGTCCTGGACATCTTCGGCACCCTTCATTTCCAACTCTTGGCCATTCTCAGCACCTGCACCTGCACTGACATCTTCACTTGTGGCAGAAGGATCTCTGGAGAACATTAGGCTTATTGCACCCCAGTTCTTGATAACTTTATGCTGATAGCAAGCAGCAGCTTTGTTTTCTGCAAAATAACCATCAAACTGAACCATAAGCCCAAACACATTTCAGTACAAATTAACAAAAGCGAATGCATTTGCCCCACCTCTATGTATCTGCTCCAAGCATCCTCATTGTGAATCACAAGCTTGTTCCTATCCTGATCCCACTCAAATCCATCATGAGCGAGTATTCTGCCAAGTACATTGCAGTGCTTGTCGAACGTCTTGCATCTTGACATCACATGGTCCTTTGTGATGTCCATGTTGCACTTCTCCCGCACATTCCTCACCGCTGCAGTGTATACATGTGGCTTCCACCCAGTTGCTGTGTGATCCCCATTGTTGTGATGCTCAACAAGAGGAGCACCTGATCCATATCATCCGTCCAAGTAAGATAGCCCCTATACTTCTTCCCATTACTTGCACTCATGATACCAGATCTGAAGCGCTAAAATCAGGCAAGCAACACATTAGACTGTCCATTATGCTAAAGCCTGATTTATAAGATTTGGATGCTACAGGTGAATCATGATAGGGTATTTGGCACATGGGATGGGAGACAGGATAATCCAGATGATTAATTCACAAAATTGCGTCTGATACCAGCAATAAGCAGTTGAGATGTTGCAACGAACCTTATGGTCTTACACCTCTTTATCTGGCCTCGCTGTGAGGCGCTGCTTATACCAGGAGTTCAGGGCAGCATCCTGCAAGAACGAACGTTTCAGTAATCCCAATAATAAACAATGCGGGCCTGCGGCGAAGGAGCAAAGCATCGAGCAAGGCAGAGTCGGTCGCGTATACATCTGCTGGTAGGGGGTGGGGTGGGGTGGGGCAGGGTCTGTATTCTGGAAGCTGGATGTAGAAACCCAGCTACAGGGATTAGCAGGAGCTGGAGGCCGGCGGGTGGTGCGGACGGCGGCAAAGATGGACCTGTTCACCACCTCCCAGGTAGGGTTAGGGCAGGAGAAAGAGGATTCGCAGGAAGAGTGGAGCGGAGGGTTGAGGAGAGGGCGAGTCAGAATAACACGGGAGACGATTGGATCGCCGGTGAGGAGGATGAAGAGGGTGGTAGAGATTCACCTGTGGCCGCACCCCGCAGGCCGCTAGCGGGGGAGACGAGACGAGGAGGAGCGGCGCCGCGGAGGCCTGAATTAGTCAATTCCAAAGGATTCCAGGTTGGTGGGTTTGGAATTGAGGTCACCTCATGAACATGCTTGTCAAATATATACCTCACATATAGTTTTCAAAGTTCGCAAAACGAAAAGTTTAAACATCGTTCGTCCATACGCATCACTACAAAGCAAAATACAGTGTTCATGCCTAACACTCGTCCATCATATCAGTCATCGGCCATCATTCTTTATCCGCACTATGTTTTTCGAGATAGAAGTATCCAAAGATGATGCGAGGCTCACTCGCAAAACAACTCATTGATAGCACCTTAATTACAAAATAGCACCTTAATTACAAGAAGGTACTCCGTGGAATTTACTAAAATATCAAAATCAATATTTGGCAATAGCAAGAATTAAGATAGGGATAGGGCATCTGGGTTACCCGTTTAATTGGGGTTTCTAAATTTGATACCCAATTTTTTTCTTCAGAAAATGGCACGTGATATTTTGGGTACCTAAATTTTTTTTATTCGGGTATTCCCAAACTACCTAAAACCTTGAAAATCATAAAAAATCAGAAGATATAGAATTATAGCCGCAAAGTTAAGCAATATAAACAACAACTTAAATAGCATTTTAGGACAAAATTAGAATCATTACATCATAGATCAGTAGGCTATAATTACGTCACTGTTAACATTAGATAATAGCACAAATGCTAAATAGCATATAATCTTTCTCTATTTCATGTAAACTGGGTAATCGTTCTACGGGGCCTAATAGCCAAATTATCCAAACTAAAATCATGTTTCTAAATTCTTTGTCTAAAATAGTGATCGGGTATTTTGGGTTTTGGTATTTGAGTCGGGTTTAGATAACTCGGGTTTGCATTTCGGGTTTCGGGTTTTATGCCCATTCCTACTTATGTTTAGCACTAGTTCCACTCACAAAACCCTAAATCACCTAACTCACCATAAACCACAGGCATGAAGCGAAACACCCACAACACTCCCCAGGACATAGCAGTCTAGCACCAACATGCATGAACTCCCGCCACAAACTCCTCCCTTAAAGCCCTAAGAAACCCCACTTAGCCCAAACTGTCATGCTTCCATGGACTATTTTGCATGTCATCTAGACTGCCCATCAACACTTTGGAGACTTAGATCAAGCTGTAAATGCCACAACCTAATTGCCATGGCGGACTATCCACCAAACATCCGATTGGCGGAGCTCGTCAATTTTAACGACTAGGGCCCTTTGTCAAAACATATACATCGCCCGCTTGGTCCAAATACCATCTACTTTGGATATAAGAGCATCTCCAAGACACTCTTTATATCCTTATTAAATGCTAGGATTAGAGATTTTGATGAAAAACTATCCTCCAACAGCTTCTCTAAATGGTTATCCAAATATAGTCATCTTCTATTCCGGATTTTTTGGTAGCCAAAAATAGAAGACGAGAAACAGGAATTACCGATCCTCAAAGAGGACTCTTCTATTGCAAATTTGCAATGAGCAAATAATAGCGATCGGGAGGTAATCTTCTCATCTGTGCTACACGCCTCTGGCGACTCTGGTGGTGGTGGTGGCTGCCCGCCTACTACGGGAGGCGAGACACACGATAGCTCAAATGCATGCATGGCCATGGCAGGCGTGCGGTGTCGGTGAGTGGCGGATGGAGAAGGTAAGAGTCAGGGCGACGGGGTGGAGGCCCTGGCTGGGTGGAGGGCGGCATGCGAAAGAGAAGTGAAAACGGGAGTCGGGGTCTTGGGAGTCTAGGGACCGGTGTCTTTGCGTGCTCTGGCTTGAACGACCGTGCCTTCTCTTCACTCTTTCTTTGGGGTGTATTCTTCTACAAGATTTGGCCCAACGCCTAGAGCGACCTAGTAAACTACATATACTAAAGGGGTACTTTGGGCCACACTTAGGTGCTGTGGCCCTAGTGGCCCTAGACCCAAATCCGAGCACGTGATGGATTATCAGTTCACATGCAGTAGAGCCACCAACCTTCGCATCTCTGCTTCGGCGGATTGTCCTTCAACACATGACAAACTATTCGTAGGCTTTCTCTCTCTAGCCCATAGTGGTATGTTTTTGGGCACATACTGGCGGACTGTCCATTGACACATGACGGACGATCTGTGAAGACCAATTTAGACCAAAATCACACAACCATGCTCAGACAAAACTGTCTGACCCTCTCAATAAAGTGTGCGTGAGAGCACTGTTTGCACACACATACTTTACAATGAACATGCTGGTTGATCATAATGCACATACATCTTTCACGTCCTCATAAATTGTGTACCTTAGCCCACCCATCCCAAATCTATCTATCTAAGGAGTCTCCGTGTTATCTACTCCGATGATAGCAATGCCATTGACCCAATTGGCATATATACTATGGAAGAATACATTGCTGAGCAAAGTGTCCTGCACAATTTACTTGAGCGGATCGGTGTGAAGATTCAGGCCAAAATCGAAGCACAACAAGCTGGTACATCTCGCCGCCGGAGTGGTTTTAACAGGAAATTCATAGAGAGAGATCATGGAGAGGGTCATCAACGGCTTGTCGCTGATTTCTTTTCTGAAGATGCAGCCTATAATGAAAAACTATTCAGAACAAGGTACGGAATGAGAAAGCCTCTCTTTCTACGTATCGTCCGTGCCCTAGTCTCCCTATTTCACTAAAAGGACAGATATTTGTTATCGCCAAGGGCTCTCACCTCTGCAGAAGTGCACAATGCTATTCAGTATGTTATCTCGTGGTGCCCGTCGCCGATGTTTGTTGACGAATATGTACAGATTGGTAAAGGCACAACAATGGAGTGTTTGGAGCGGTTTGCAGAAGGGGTGATTGACAAGTTTGGCGGAGAATATTTACGAGGACCTACTAGTGTTGATATTCAGCGACTACTACAAATTGGTGAGGGCTGTGGCTTCCCTGGCATGTTGGGAAGCATTGGTTGTATGCATTGGGAGTGGGAAAATTGCCCTCCTAAATGGATGCGTCGACTTAGTCATAGTGATCATGGTTTTGCCACATTTGTTCTTGAGCTGTTGCTTCACAAGATCTCGGATATGGTACGCTTCTCACGGATGTTGTTGGGTCCATCGGTGACATCGGTGTTCTCGATCACCCACCGTTGTATAATGAAATCTTGAAAGGGCAAGCTCCCCAGATGCAATTCTCCATCAATAAGAGTCAATACAATATGGGTTACTACCTTGCAAATGAAATCTACCCAGATTGTAATGTATTTGTTAAGACAATACCCTTCCCTCGGACAGAAAAGGAAAGGTTGTTTGCACAACATCAAGAAGAGGCAAGGAAGGATGTCCAACGTGCATTTGAGTCATGCAATCTCGTTTCCCCATTGTTCGTGGTCCAATACGCTATTTCCACGGGCAACTCTTGCAAAAATCTTGCAAGCTTGTGTCATACTCCATAACATGGCAGTTGAGGATGAGAAAGATATGGCAAGTGCTTGCTTTGACTCAGGTGAAGCTATGGGAACATCCGCTGTTCTACCGTCAAACATCAAAACTGGGCCTGCCAATTGCTTAGCCAATATACAACAGAGGAATGCTACTCTTTCTAGTCTACCAACACATGGCCAACTAAGAAGTTACTTAATCGAGCACATCTGGCAGCAGTTTGGGCCATTTGGCGACAAGTAAAATGAGTTCTCCTAGTCTAAAGTTTATAATGACATCCTTTGATGCACACTAGCGTGTGCTGCTACATTCGATGCTTGGAACTGAGGGCGATGGAGATATATATGTTATGCATTATTGATCATTGCCTCCTACAGGTAGTACAGATTGGTGTTCCATGTACTGAATTTGGCATCCACATACTGCAAAAGGCTTGATTACTTCTTCAGTAGCAATAATCCTCCTTCAGTAGCCTTTTACCACTATTTTTATGTGATGCCATCCTGAACGCTCAAAATTGTCAACAAGCAAGAGATATTAATCTCACAATGTTTTTTTTCCCTTTTTTTTACTGGGCCATCATCGTTGCTGTTATTGTTTAATGCAGTCTAGGCTACAATGGGCAGTACCAAACTACCAGTCCGTTTAAAAAGATTTGGTCATGAATTATATTAGCTGCACAGGTCGCTGAGACTGTGGAC